TTTATATTTGACTGAATAGAGTTGAAAAAATAATAATATTCACGAGTGTAAAACTCCTAAATTCACCTCTCACATGATATCCCTTAATAATCTTCTGAATATATATAGAAATAAAGTATGTATGTATGTAAATATTATTAGTGCTGTCAATCGATTAAAAAACCTAATTAATCATGATTAATTACATTTAAAAGACTGAAACTTGTCATTTTGGCTATTCAAAAGTAAAATTAATGTAAACGCCAGACAAAAAACAATTCAAATTGTAAATATATTTGTTTAGAATTTTTAGAATTTTGTTTAACTTGTAACACAGATTTCCTCATGTAAACAACATACACGTACCCACAATAAACCAGCAAGATCCCAGCTTGACAGCCATATTTATTACAGAAATAAAAACACAGGCATGTTAGTGCCATGTGAATTTCAAAACATTCAATGCCAATAAAGAAAAAATTGATTTCCATATTGGATTCAAAGTGGACTGCAAAAAAAACTATTTTGCTTAGTCCTCCTTTACATTTAGCCAGGTGCTAAGACAGTCCAGTCTGTTGACATTATCAGGGGACCTTGTGTTAATGTGGACCTTTTCTTTTGAATGATGTGAGCTGAGAGTGAGAACAGGCATGATCACAAGCAGGATCACTGAATCAGCATATGCACTTCGGTGCCTAATTTTGTTGCCACTGGTTCTGCCACAGGGATGTAAGAAGCATCAAAGGAGTACATAAAAGGCACGCACTGGAAGTATGCGTTGTGTCTCACCAAAGACTAATTCTTGCAGGGACTTTGGTCACAACATCTCTAAACATTTTAACAACTTTTAGGGATATGGACGGCGAAATCTGTGTCGTTTAGGTGTTTGTTCTTTTTGCTAGGAAACGAAATAGACACAGACATACACTCACGCACACACACAACACGCACAGGACAGCACAGCCGGAGCGACTCCCTTCAGATTCAACATGCATGATCGCGTTCATCAAATTTGCTTAAACTAAGCGTTGTTAAGTCTAGCTGTAGTGAATTTACACTGTATTAAATGTTAATGGTCCACGATCAACAATATTGAATTTAAACTGTATTAAATGTTTTTAATGGTCCAGGATCAACATTTGTGAATTTACACGGTATCAAAATGTTTATGATGGTCCAGGATCACCTTTAGTGAGTTTACACTGTATTAAATGTTTTTGATGGTCCAGGATCAACATTAGTGAATTTACACTGTATTAAAATGTTAATGATGGTCCAGGATCAACACTAGGCAACTTAAACTGTGAGGAAACAACCTTCTCCAGTAGCCTAGTGGTAAAGTACTGTGGCTTGTAACACTGGTCTGATCAAGGTGATTCAAGTTCGATTGCCATCCCATGTGTCTTGCTGATCTTTCCTCTCTGCTAGTTCTCAGAGTAACCTTCGTCAGTTGTCTTGTGTAATAAAAATGATCAAACTCTAAAGATATTGAGAAAAAAAAATATTAAAAAGTTTTTGTTGGTCCAGGATCAACAATAGTGAATTTACTCTGTATTAAAATGTTTATGATGGTCCAGGATCAACACTAGAGAACTCAAACTGTGATCAATACTCATCATCAGGGGCCTAGTGGTAAAGTGCTCTGGATTGTAACACTGATTTGCTTAAGGTGACTCGAGTTCAATTCCCGCCTCATGTGTCTTGCCGATCTTCCCTCTCTCACAGTTCTCAGTAATCCTCTTCAGTTTGTTTTTTTAAATGAAAATAATCAAAGTCTAAAGATATTCAGAAAAAAAAAAACTATTAAAATGTTTATGATGGTCCATGATCAACCCTAGGGAATTCAAACTGTGATCAATAATCAATTCTTGTAGCCTAGTTGTAAAGTGCTCTCTCTTGTAATACTGACCCTCTCTCTCAGTACTCAGAACATCAATCTTCGAATGTCTTGTGTAATAAAATGATCAAACTCTAAAGATATTCAGAAAAAATATATATAAATGTTTATGGTGGTCCAGGATCAACAATAGTGTATTTACACTGTATTAAAATAATGATGGTCCAGGATCAACAATACTGAATTTACACTGTATTAAATTGTTTATGATGGTCCAGGATCACCTTTAGTGAGTTTACATGGTATTAAATGTATTTAATGGTCCAGGACCAACAATAGTGAATTTACCTTGTATTAAAATGTTGTTGGTCCGGGATCAACAATAGTGAATTTACACTGTATTAAATGTTTTTGATGGTCAAGGATCAACAATTGTGAGTTTACACAGAATTAAAATGTTTATGATGGTCAGGTATTAACATTAGTGAATTTACACTGTATTATATGTGTATTATATGTGTAGAGCAACCAACTCCCATGTGGAAGGCCGCTGGTTCGATCCCAGCTCGGAATGGGTTTGGTGGTGTAGGACTGGCGGGGTTACACTAGCCGTTTGAGCATGTGTTTGGGTCTCCATGCCTGCAGCTTCATAATGTTGGGGCCACAACGGCAGCATTGCTAAACCCAGAAGTAAGGAGATCCACAGAGTAGTGTTTTGTCATTATTACATATTTTAAATACTTTCCCATTTTATCACCAGAGTATTGTCCATGAATAAACCCAGTTTGATCAACTTCAATAATCAAAGGCAATATTTTTTTCTAATCTCAAAGCTAACACATTAAACAGTAATTTAAAATCCTTATTGAGAAGGCTGATATGAAGAGCCCTCTTCATCTGGTTTTCTCTTTTCAAGTATGAGGCTAAAATTAGCTCTCAAAGAGATCTAGGCAAAGATTTAGTTTCAAAAGAACAGTTTAACAGTAATTCCATTACCACCAGAGTAGCTTGAATTCTTTCCAGTATCTTGTTTTTCTAGTTAATTTTTAACAAAAAAACTATCAATTATTACATATAATTAGCATAATTTTTATTAGTGCTGAACAAAATATTGGTTGAACATCGATATCGCAATGTGTGTATTCGCGATAGTCTCGACGCAGGATTTGATCATTTATTAAAGAATAAAGGTGTTCTTTAATATTATTATATAAATTATTTATACATGGATAATCATGTTATTTTGTGTTTAGTTGTTTAGTTTTTAAATTTATGTACTGTTAGACTCCCAAGAAACCTTTAATTTTTGCTCTCACTTTTTTATATGCTTGTAATTTATTGTTTTTTGCAGATGCACTGCATAGAAAAAGACTTGATCACCCCAGTTGATGTAACTAATGAAATCTTTCTTAATGGGGCTGTTCAAATCATCTGATGAAAATAGAAATATATCACAATGTATATCACAGCAAAACAAAATATCGCAATGTCAGATTTTTCCAATATTGTGCAGCCCTTATATGTATAATGGGTCATGATATAATTCAATGTATTTTACTCCTAACACATTCTTGCTGTCATTGTGCAAATGTTGAAGCATTTTGGTTCATTGTTTCATGGAGGATGCTGTTTCTGGCATGCATGGCTTGAATGCTTATGAGATGTCATTTAAAAAAATATCTTTATGTTTTGGATTAGTTGTTATGGGAGTGGCAATGTAATTACTTCAGGGATGTCTGTTTGCCGTTTTCTGGCTCCACTGCTGAGGAGCTTCTTATTAAAGCATTTCTCAGTTTTACACAGAGTTTTTTTTTAACCTATTCAAAAGACATGTTGTGTGTCTTAATGTTGCATTTTAATACTTGTGTTTTTTAATTTTCATTCAAATTTATATGACTTCAGTCTAGGGCTGCACCATATATCGTTTCAGCATCCATATTGCTGTGTGTAAATCTGCATTATTCACATTACAGGATTTGCAATGTCAAGTTGAAATTTTAGTAGCCAGTAGGGCTGGACGATTTGGCCTGAAATCTAAATCTCGATTAATTGAACATTTTAACTCATCTACCACTAATGAACGAATATTTTATTCATTTGTTTTGTCCTTATAGTTTACTGACAAGTTTTGTACAGTAAATATGTTCACATATTACAAGTGAGAGCTTTTTAAATGAAGGGTCCATTACTTGATTTTAAAATAATTGGAAGAAACACACACTATCTACTATCTATGATTATGTATTGAACATAAACGTTGAACAACTGAAATTAAAACTCACATGGCCTAAAAAGAGCAGTCAAAAAAGTACTAGTAAAAGTAACTGAAAAAAATGACCTGGAAAATTTGTTTGATTATAGGTTCTGAATGTTGTACTTTTCGATTAATCGCCCAGCCTTAATAACCAGCCACCACAGTTCAGAACGTAAGTAGTGGAGTCTGCGCAAAGTTTAACCCTAATATAGTGAAAGGTTGTCATTTGGATGTCTTTCTAAAGACCTGTGACCTGTGCTTAAACAAAGATTAATTGTATTTATTTATACAATGAAAACTAAACAGTGAATGTTTTAAATATGACTGAATTTTCTGAGTCTCAATACTGTTTAAGAAAACCCTAAAAGACAATTTGTTTCATTTGCATCTTTATTGTAATGTACTTTGTTGTAACATGCAAAATACAAAATAATCTCAATCAATCTAATATTACCATTTCCAAATAGTGTTACTAGTCATCTTTTAAAATTAGAATTTTATTACAATATATATGAAAAGGAAAAGAAAAAAAAGTAAAAGTCCGTTTCTTTTCAACATCATGCAACATTTCTTCAGTATATTTTACCCACATAAAGAAGGTAGTGGCAGACTTTCTCAGCACATTTTCCTAAATAGATCAAATTTAGTGTGTTTGATGAATTTAAAACTTGCCTCCTTACTAACCGTTTTAATCTCAGGCATGTGCCGGTATTGATGCAGTGTTAATGATTCGTGAGGTGTACCTGATGTTTCTTCAGGCCACAGGTGTGCCACAGGTGTCCCTAACAGATTTATAATTGTTGCCGGTTAATAGGACCACAAAGCAGCTGCATTACATTGGGTTTACCCCACCCGCTGTTTTTGTGTAACCGGTTTCTGACTCGCCGTGTTTGTGTTTATCACTAGTCTCCTGTGAAAAACGGAACAAGCATGGACTCTTCACTGACTGCTGCACAGATCCGTGAGAAGTTCATCGACTTCTTCCGCCGCCATGAACACCAGTATGTCCACTCGTCAGCCACCATTCCACTGGATGACCCCACGCTGCTCTTCGCCAATGCCGGAATGAACCAAGTAGGGAGATTTGAACAAAGTTATATATATATATATATATATATATATATATATATATATATATATATATATATATATATATATATATATATATATATATATATATATATATATGAAAGTTTAGCAAAAAAAAGTGAATGTATGTGCCTAATTGGTTGAAGAATATTACATGTAAATGTTATCATTATTTTGATAGTTTAAACTGTAGAACACAAAATAAGTAATTTTAAAGATTGTTGGAAACTGGTAGCTTATTAACTTGTTTTGAACATTTTTTCAAAATATCTGCTTTTGCGTTTAACATCATAAAGGAATTCATAAAGGGTTTAGAGCAAGTTAAGGGTGACCTGATTAATAATATTTTTGTGAATTATCTATTTGCTTTTTTGGATATTACTTTCAGTTTGTGAATGTAAAAGGAAGGCAGAATTTCACCGTAAATTGCAATATTAAAGATAAATGTTATTGTTTCCTAGAAGAAGAAATTATCACTTTTTTTATTGTCATCTGTCTTTTTTATAGTTTATAGTTAACTATATTATATATAGTTTTATAGTTTGTAATGTAGTCAAACGTTTACAAATACAAGCGCAGCCGTTTAGAGCTCATTTCTGGTTAATGATGTCAGAATTTACTGGTATTTTGGAATGGATGTGTCGATGATCTTTTCTGGAAAAATTCCGTAACGTCCTCGCCTGTGTGAACAGCACTTTTTTGAATCTTCTGGTAAAGTCGTTCTGTAAATTTTTCAGATATTTACAGTATCACTGTGTGAAAGGGGCTATTGACTGCACTTTGAGCGCCCCCTGCTAGCCTCACTTACACCACTTCCAACAGCAACCTAGTTTTCGCATGTGGTCTCCTATCCAGGTACTGACCAGACTCAGTCCTGCTTAGAATTCAGTGAGTAACCGGTCTTGGGCTGCAGGGTGATATGACTGTGATTAGATTATCTATATGGGTTAAAATGACCGATTTTAATTATAATACAAGTTGTAGAATTGATGTAAATTTGTTTATATTCTTTCTGTATCAGAATGTAAGAGAGCCGTATTCTGCCTGGCAGCATGAAGGATAACTTCTGGGAGATGGGGGACACTGGTCCATGTGGGCCGTGCAGTGAGATCCACTATGATCGCATTGGAGGCAGAGATGCTGCACACCTGGTCAACATGGATGACCCAAATGAGCTTGAAATCTGGAATTTGGTGTTCATCCAATTCAACAGGTAAACTTAAAGCTCTTTGCTACTGTACAGCTAGCAAAGGTAAAAAGCAATCACATACAAATAGATAATAGCTTTACTGCCTCTTAAATAATGTATTATTCATAGGGATGCACAGAAAACTAAGAGATATTATGTTGGTTATTGTCTTGTATAAGAGATATTTTTATTCATCCATAGAAATGCACAGAATACCACTACCGTGTGGATTATTGGCATTGGCTTTTATCCCTTTACCTGCCCCACCAAGAAAAACATTTCTGAATTACATTTCTTAACTCCATAAGTCGCTAGTTAACAAACTCAATGCATTTTTTTTCAGCACATCCCATAGTTTTTAAAATAGCAACCTCTACCAAATGGTTGATAAATCAGTTTATAATAAAAGTACTGGAATTAATAAATATATTATGAAAATCTGAAAAATAAGAATTTATTTTTAAATTTATTTAATATTTTTTATATATATATATATATATATATATATATATATATATATATATATATATATATATATATATATATATATATATATATATATATATATATATACACACACAATAAAACCAAAATCAAATGTGGTAGTACTACAGGACTATGTTTGTTTTTGTTTTTTTGTAAACCAACAATGCTGTGTAGTGTAAACCGTTATTTAAAACAGTCATTCTTTAAATGACTTGAACAGTCATTATTTAAAACAGTCAAAATATGGTCAACCATTTGATTGAGCAGGCAGTTAAAGCAGCCTTTATTGTATATTTATAACTAATTGCACTTTAGATTCAAGAAATAAATCAATCTAAAGAAAATGACCATTGGCATCAGCCAGGAATAAATACATTTAATTTTAGTATAAATAAAATCATATGAAAGAAATAATGCTCTGTTGAACTTTCCCTTCATCAAATATATCTTTTTTTAACATCAAGTTTACAATATTATTTGGCAGCAACTAACTTTTTTTTTTTATAATCATTTTAATAAATATAGTTGGTTAAGGACCAGATCAGCATATTACAGTGATGCCTGAGAGATAATATGACACTGGAATCTTGATTAATGGTTGTTGAAAAGTATGAATAAGTATCCTTTTAAAATGTTTTTACTAATTTGTATTTTAAATATTAAACGTTCATTTTGGATCATACTTATTAAGCAGAATAATATTAGTGCATAGTAATTTTTTGCACAAAGATACTTCAAGTATGCACACATTTGTTATTAACGTATGGCTATGCTTCTGCACAGAGAATCAGAGACCGTGCTTAAGCCTCTTTCCAAGAAGAGCATCGACACAGGGATGGGACTTGAGCGCTTGGTCTCTGTTCTACAAAACAAGATGTCTAACTACGACACTGACCTCTTCGTTCCTTATTTTGAAGCCATTCAGAAGGTAAACTCACAGAAAGCATGGATTGACATTTATTTTTGCATGCAATTGAACAACTTGTCTCGCTTTTCAGGGCACAGGTGCAAGAGCATACACAGGAAAGGTTAGTGCAGAAGACACCGATGGCATCGATATGGCATACCGTGTCCTGGCTGATCATGCCCGCACCATTACAATCGCCTTGTATGATGGTGGCAGACCTGACAACACTGGCAGAGGGTGAGATGATGGTGTTATTGATTGCTTTGTATGAGGGATGGGAGTGTCCGCAAATTTCCATCATTAATTGTTTTTGTAATTAACAATCAAATGATCATTCATCTTTTATCTACTTCAGTGGCACATTGTCACCGACATGACAGGATGTGCAAATGATTCACAAAGCACAAGAACTCTCACCCAAAGTATTATGTTTTTACTGTATTTAAAAGGCTAGTGGCATTGTAAAAAGAATCTATGATTGGTATTTTAATAGAACATTTGAATGATTAAATATAATGTGTAATGTACAAATTGTACTTGGATCTGCACATTGGCAACTGGTGAATCTGTAGCTCCTTGTGACCAGGTCTTTTATTTTCCCAAATGTGCATAGAATATTGTGCAGATTAAGGAAAATATGTAGATTGTTAAAAAAACAATGTTATTTATGAATGAACTTGATGTGTTTACTTATGCCATTTAGATATTGGTCTACTTGATCAGTCTTCACATTCCTCAAATTGATACAAATTCAGAATTTCTATATATTTTTTGTTTATTTTATTTGACTGATTGATAGCAATAAAATATAACAGGGCTCGAAATTGCTACCATTTTGACCGGAAATTTTATCTATGCGACCTCAAAATATATTTAGGAGCATTTGTTCGAGTCCATAAAATTGTTGTGTGCGACCAGTTTTTACTGCAAAATGTTCACCACATGTGCGGATTTGGGAGACATTTTCGCAGAATGCATTTCTGCACTTGAAACGCGTAACGCAGCACTCAGGAATGGTTTAAAACAGTTGTCATGTCAACTTGCTGCCGTAAACAAAGCCAAGTACGTAATGCTTACCCCGCCTTCGCGCTCTTCTTATTGGCCCACTGCTCTAGCACTGAAATATCAGCTGTCAATCACTCAGTCAATGCCTTCTGGCTTGGGATGACAGAGAGAGCTACTACCGCGAAAAACTGTAAAGCGCTGAACATGAGAATGAAGATAACACTGACAGATTTTGTTTTAGAAACCATGGCACCTAAAGTTACAAATAATGACACGTCTTACTAGTGTTCATGTGCTGAATGTTAATCCACCATCTACACTTTTAGAAGAGTGGATAAAAGACATCCGTTGGCTTCAAGTCCGCTATGAAAATTCTGTGGGATGGAATTTTCAGGGAACTGCTTGCCACATCTAGCACGAGCTTCTGTTTAATTTTTCATTTAATCACCAGATGCTGTCTGCCGTGCAAGTGGCAGCTATATGTCAAATTTAACAATTTAACGGGTTTGCGCTGAGTAAACTAATATCGCTACTCATAAAAAGAACGGTATTGCTATTAACATGACGTATGCATATAATAAGGTACAGTATATGTCAAAAGCATCAGTGCAATATCAGACAGCACCCGTGAGAACAGCACAGTTATATCATTAAAAGGTTTATTCATGTCAAGCAGTGCATGCTGGGCTAGTGAGAGCTCCGTGTACCTTTGGTCACTCAGTTATGTTATAAAAATTGATTTTCTTGTGATAACGGGATTTCGTTGAGACATATTTTCCTCATGCTTGGATATATTTATTTTTTAGCTTGTTGTTGATTTCAAATGCAATAAATATGTTTGTATAAAACTTGTAGTAACGGTGCTTATAATTGGTGGGTGCGACTAAATTTTGGCTGATGCGCCTAAATTTTTAAAGTTAGGAGCACCAATGCTACCAAGCAAAAAGGTTCATTTCGAGCCCTGTATAAACAAGTCCATACACTGATAACCTGATTCATACACATTTCAAAAATGTCAAGGATAAAATCTACAAAAAAACTACTTTTTTATTTTTAAATGTACAAACATATCATAAATAAAGTGAAATTATGCAACTTGTGTAGCAGTTTCTTCAAACATTTTACAAAGGAGTGTTTATTTAAAAAAGTGTGCCCACTTAATTTTTTTATTTTCTTTTCTAATTTTTTTCTTGCATCTGCAGTACATTTTGTGTGTAAGCAGCATACGCCTCAACTATGCTCAAAAATTACATCCATTCTTTATTCTTTGAATCAATACAACTTAGCAATACTTAATTATCAACAATTAATCTACATCAATTAATTGTTAGCAATAGCATCAATACTGTGCACTTCAGTGCTTCTCACACATAGACTTTATTTGGGCGGGCCACCAGGTATATTAACCACCGCCCAACTATATTTAGTGACACGTTTTTTTGTTTATTTTTATTTATTATTATTTTTTACTATTTCTATTATTCTTTTACACTATATTGTATCTGTGATCGATTAAGTATAGGAAAAATCTCTCTTGTTTCTCTCTTTCGTTTTGTCTGCACGAAACTTGTTAGTATTCACACAGTCTCACATGCTCTGCAGACCCACAGAGATGCTACTTTTTGGCATTTCGTCCGGCCAGGTTTCTAAATTTCCTAAAATGGATTTGGCTTTTGCTTTCTAAAGCTGTTGTTAATCATATGCGTTTTTGCATTATCTTTTTACTGAAGCCTACTTTCACTTGGCTTTGCAGTTGAGTGCACCTGCACAGTCGCGAGAGTGAGTGAAACATTCAATAATTCCTTTTTTAATCCAAACAACTCAGAAAATCTTTACTACGAAGAGGATGAAATGACTAGACTAAACTGGCTACAAAATAGATGTACATTATTAGTAATGGTTAATCAAGGCATTTGCCTTATTTTAATATAGTTTTCTAATACTTAATCTCTCATGTTCATTTAATAGTTTATTGCTCTTTTCAGGGTGATGCTTTTCCAGAGCTGCGGAAAGATCCTTATATGGTAAAGGATATCATCAATGAGGAAGAGGCACAGTTCCTTAAAACCCTCAGCAGAGGACGCCGCATCCTAGACCGCAAGATCCAGAGTCTCGGAGAAAGCACAACTATACCAGGTGAAGCACATGATACCACAAAAAATGATAACTAATAGGCATTTAATGATTCACCGTTAGCCAGTTGAAAATCGATTCAAATATGTGACGATACAAATGTGGGTAAAATGTTGAATGAATCGTGATACATGTTTTGAACAGAGGGGATGCTGTTTACTGGTGCAAGCTCACTTCACCTGCACATCAACGGCGAGCAAGAGGTGGGCGACAGAGTAAAATCGACATCAGCGATGCCGAAGAAATAGTAAACCTGCCTAAACTGCTGAAAAGAGCCACGACTGTCCTGTGTAATGAAAAGACGGCCACCCTGTCACTCCTCATGCCCAACATGAAGACAGCCATACATAAAAACCTCTCAGACAGATACACATCAGTTCAGGATTATTTTATAGAACTGCTGATTACCTGGAAAGTAGATTGCACACACAAAAAATGCAAGTGACCAAACAAAGCCTTGAGCTCTTACTGTTAAATTCAATTGAATTGAATAATTTCAATAATATTTTATAAGAAGTTTTTAAATAGTTTTATTATCCAGAGACAGTCCTGTTTAATTTATTTTCTTAAAGAAGGTTCAGTTTAACAAGTTGAAACAAAAGAAATACATAAAAAATAGTTTACTTGGTAATTAAAATTTTTTTTTAATAAAATTTGAATTTCAGTTTAATTTTCAATTTTTATTCCAAATATCATGATACATATCGAATCGTGAACATTATATCGTGATGCACATTGTATCGTGAGCTGAGTGTATCGTTACACCCCTAGTATTTAGTTTGTATTATTCTTGTTTTGTTTATAAAATAGCAATTAAGTTATGGCAGAAAATATTTTATATTTAGCAAAAAAGTGCTGCATTTAAGAAAGAAATGAAAGCACTCTTCACCTTCAATTTGTTTTAAATAATTTTGCTTAAAAATCGTGACTGAATCATGAATTGTGAGATTAGTATGGTGAATCTTATCGAATTGTGAGTCCAGTGAATCGTTATATCCTTAATAACCAGATGATAATTGTTTTTAAATCAATAAGAAATCATTGAGGTATGGTTATTATAGATCTGTTAGTTTATGCATTTTTAAAAAAGAACCAACTTTTCAAATTTATAATGAGATCTGTTTAAATATCTGGTTGTCACCAGAAATATTCTGCTATATTTAATCAAGAAAATCAATTTTAAATTTGTCTAAATTTATTTCTTAACAACACATATTAGTATTTAATGGAAATGAATGGAATTTCATACAAATATTTTACAACGAATATAAAACATTTTATACTTGACCTTTCACATTTTATCCATTTGATCTCAATCAAGAATGAGCTAGCTTTAAACAGTCCACAACACCTCAGCTTATATCTCTGATTAGTTGAGTTCACTGTTTTTGTTTAAGACATTTATATTATAAGTATTTATATAAATGTATATATATGTATTATAAGTGTTTATATAAATACCTATTATTAATATAAATTACTTTATTTTTATGTCAAAAGTAGAATACCAAGTAAAATCTGAGAATTTAATGATTTAAACGTGGTGACATGGGCCAGTGGGACACAATGGAATTGGTTACCGTAGAAACCGGAAGCCACAGAATGCTGGCCTCTATTTGTGAGTTCTATATGTGACATCACACTGTATGTTACTGCAATTCTTGTTGGTTTGTTCATTCTGTAGCTCTGACAATTCAAATATGGGTCAGCTCAGTTCAAGTTGTAAACCGTCAAGAAATGATTGTGGCAGTGTGGACTACTATCATTGTACACCACCACAATCTTCCACAGATAAAGTGGAAAACAATTTACATCTAGAGAGAGATGTGGAAAGAGGAAAGAAGCGTTCTTCTAAAAAGAAGAAATCAATTTGGAGGTGGGCCTTTTCCCATCAAAGAGGTGGCAAAAAATACACCAAGGCCTCATCTGACCACAGTGCTGAAGTCTCTCCTGCTGCCTGTTTGGCTCCTGACAACAGTGCTGCCCTATCTCATACAGCGGCCAGTTTGAGTCCCGACAGCAGTACTGAGGAGTCTCCTGCTGCCAGTTTGAGTCCTGACAGCAGTACTGAGGAGTCTCCTGCTGCCAGTTTGAGTCCTGACAGAAGTACTAAGGTCTCTTTTGCTATCTGTTTAACTCCCAACTGCTCTGCGGAGTTCTCTTCTGGTGTTGCCGTTTCGACTCATGACAGGAATACAGAGGTCTCTCCAGGTACTGCCGGTATGAGTCCCGACTGCTGTACCGAGGACTTTCCTGATGCTGCCAGTTTGACTCCCGACATTTGTACTGAAGACTCTCCTAATGCTGGCTCTTTGAGTCCCTACTGCAGTACCGAGGACTCTTCTGATTCTGCCAGTTTGAGTCTCGACTGCTATACGGCTGAGTCTTCTGCTGCTGCCAATTTAAGTCCCGACTGCTGCACTGAGGACTCTCCTGATGCTGCCAGTTTAAGTCCCGAATGCTGTACCGAGGACTTTCCCGATTCTGCCTGTTTGGCGCCTGACTGGATTAAAGAGAGCTCTACTTCTGCCTGTTTGAGTCCGGACAGCTGTACTGAGGTCTCTACTGCTCCGGTCCCTCCGGCTTCTTCCTGGACCGTCTATGTGTCTCCTGCACCTGTCCGCTTGGTGACAAATTGGAGTCCAGATGTCTTTCTTCATTCCTCATTTTGTGTTTTAATGTCATTTGCATCTTATTTCTGATCTGCTGTAAATAAAGCATTCTTAAAAATGTGATGTTTTTATTTTTATTTTGCATATAAAAACAATTATAGCCACATTGATTACTTAAATGGTGTAATTTTTCAAGTAACATATGGTCTAATTTTAATTTGGCACGTTGCTTTTGAGTATTGTGATATTTCTTGTTAAATTTTATTTCCCTGTTTAAGGAGATTAATGATAGTTTTTGAGTTAAATTTTATTGTGTTAACTTATTATTATTATTATTATTATAAATTATATAAATATATCTGTGATATGAGTATTGCATATACCATTATCTATTGAGGTGGATTTTGTGCTCTTTGGAGTGTGAAGTTAATCTATATATTCAGGTTATATGTGTATAATCTGCTTGTAGACTTGCATACCATTAAAACAATTGGACATGGGAAATGGCTTGAGGAAACAACTAGGGGTCATAAAAGAAGGGATGAAAAGAGAGTGGTAAAAGAGCCTGAGGTGTCTCAGGAAACAGATGTCAGAGGTGGAATTTGGGGTTAGGGGAGGGATCTTGTGTAATGTATGGAGAACAAAGGAAAATAATTGTTGTCAAAGTGTATTTAAACAGGCCAGGAGATTAGGGAGGCAGAATTTTTCAGACAGAGATGCTACTGGGGGTCTCCTGAAAGTTCTCCTTTGTTGTCGACAATAAAGTATATTCTTCTGATATTCATAACCTCCAGACTGAGTTTGATTTAGTAAGAGAAAAACCAAGAAAACCACTACACTATCAATAATTTTTTATATATATTGCACAGCCCTAGGTACATTATTGTGTCCACTCTGGACCATGCTGTACTGTACAGGCATACTCTTTAGATTTGATCTTTCAATGTAGTACTGTGGGGGAAAAAAACAAAAAAATTAATCAAATTAACAATCATGTACTAACTGATTTATTTTATCTTTATGATGACTGTAAATAATATTTGACCAGATATTTTTCAAGACACTTCTATACAGCTTAAAGTGACATTTAAAGGCTTAACTAGGATAATTAAGTTAACTAGGCAGGTTAGGGGAATTAGGCAAGTTATTGGATAACAGTGGTTTGTTCTGTAGATTATCGAGAAAAAATATAGCTTAAAGGGGCTAATAATTTTGTCCCTAAAATGGTTCATAAAAAATTAAAGACTGCTTTTATTCTTGCAACAATAAAACAAATAAGACTTTATCGAGAAGAAAATATATTATCAGACATACTGTGAAAATGTCCTTGCTCTGTTAAACATCATTTGGAAAATATTTTAAAAAGAAGAAAAAAAATCAAAGGGGGCTAATAATTCTGACTTCAACTGTATATATATATATATATATATATATATATATATATATATATATATATATATATATATAGTAGTAGTAGTAGTTTCGAACCTTTATAAGTGTTTTTTTCTGTTGAACACAAAAAAAGAAATTTTCAAGAAACCTGTAACCATTGACTTCGATAGTAAGAAAAACAAATATCCCTATAATATAAAAGCAGGCCTGTAGCCAAAAAGTGTGTCTTTTTACAGTTATTCTCCTCATTTTCTATTTAATTCGAAGGTTTAGCATAAAAGATTATCATCATAACCACCCCTTTTAATGTACGAAATACATTTCCTAAAGGTTAAGATGAAGAAATATGAAAACAATACTTATTTTTAAAATACAAAAATAAAAATCTGTTAAAGTTTTACATTTATTAGCCAAATTACAAACTGACCAGCACAATCAAATTTCCTTAGTTACAATTTGGGATTCTGTAACTTAAAAACGGAAAGTCACGCCATGCTAAATTCAGCATCCCAAATTCAGTCTCAACCGAAAAGCCCCATGCATAACAGCAGATCTCACCCACCCAATGCACAGCTTCTTCAGTCTGCTGCAGGGTGGGGACTGCGGAATCTCCAGGCCATGCAGGACCAACAGACTGAAAGACAGCTTCATCCATATGGCTCTCAGGAAACTGAACTCTCTCCCAGCTCCGCCACCACTCCCCTCTCCCTCCCCATGCACCTTTGGACTCTGACACATATGAAAACACACACATACACACTTACATCTGCACTGGTCACTTTATGCACCATTGGACTACCTCCCTATATATCATGACACTGTCACTTTATCGTAATTCTCATGTTTACAAGCCTTTTTGCACTATATACTGTTCTATATCTGCACAACTGGTTTGCGCTCATTGCCATATGCCCTTAATGTCATTGTATTGTATTGTATTGTATTGTTTACAAATTTTTATTCTTTCTTTTTTATTCTTTAGACTACATTTTATGTATATATTTAGATGACATTTTATGTATGATTGTATTTATTGTAAATTCTTTCTTAAGACTCTACTTTTTGTATTAACATTATATGTTAGGCACCTATAGGGTCTGAGAGTAACGTAATTTCGATTCATGTGGTTGAATTGACAATAAAGCTGACTGTGACTTTGACACTGTGACCTAATAACCAATATTTTTTTCTGATTTTCAGATTATTGGCAATGCAATTGTATCCCGTAAACTGACTGCGCACATCTCCTTCACCAACCCCTTACCTATTAATCTTCAAGGGGGTGTGTTTACTGTGGAGGGAGCAGGACTTACAGAGGCCAGAGAAATAAAAACACAGTATGTACTGGTTTTAGAAACTAACTGTCTTATAAACCCAAGTTATGGTTGTTAATGTATGCATGTTGGTCTTTATAGTGGCAAGATTGAATCTGGGCAGACTGTGACTGTTAAATTCTCCTTCAAACCCACCCGCGCTGGCCTGAGGAAGCTGCTCGTGGACTTTGACTCGGACAGACTTAGAGATGTCAAGGGAGAAGCCTCTGTCATTGTTCGGACAAGAATGCGACATGTAAATGCTGTCCCAGAAATTTAGACAAGCATGCACAGTTCAGAGACGTGCACATCAGAATACTTCACTGTAAATGTAGTTAATGCGATATACTTAATGACAGCTCTTTTGCTTATTACATCATTTGTTGGCTGTTTGTTTATTCTGAGGAGTTCTCTTTAAAATTACTTTATGACGTCACTATGATATTTTACCATGCTTTCTTTCATGCAGACCTTGAATATAAGAACCACAAAAGCTATTTTTGTAAAATGCAGAGTTATGTGAATACACGCTTGCTTTTATTATATAAAATGTTAATCTGATTAAGAAATTTGTGAAGTAATTGTTTTTGTACTTTCTGTATAATGTTGTTGTGTTTGATTTGAAAATAAAATACATACTTTTAATTATGAAAGCCATATTTGTTCACCTTGTTGTTTATCACTGTTTATAAATACTATTTTAGCATATATTTAGGTTTTAGGTTTGGCTAATTATTACAATGTATGCTTGTCTTACTGCATTACATCATGGTCACAAGCCTCTTTAACCACATTGAAGCCTATTGATTTGATATATTAACAAGCAATCGAAATTATGGACTTTTTTGATCAATCGGTTTTCTCTGTTAAGGCAACCAAATATTGGAATGATTTACCTGTTAGCCTAAAATTAAAAGGTAATCTAAAAGTTTTAAGTAGTGTACTTAAAAAGTGGTTAAAAACAAACAGCAGTGTTTGCACAAATAGTCTATTAGATTGTTTGATACTGCCGCCTTTGCTATTGCCTTACAATTTAATGTAAAGAATTATAATGTTGTGTATATTTATCTATTCTATTTTTATTTTATGTCAAGCCTCCTGTGAATAGGTATTGAGAATTAGCAAGTCTACTACAACACTTAAATAAATGCGTTGTTGTCCAGTGTAATTGTGTCAAATGTATCAAAAAATTTAACACTTTGGGCTGTTGTAGCATTATGCATTACACAATTTTCGATGTCAACAATGATGTCATCACTCACAGGAATTAATTCTTAAATATATTTTTAAGTCAGTACAAAAAAACAAAAAAAAAAAACATAATCCTTATTTCCTTTCGCTTTTTCTTGTTTACTCAAGTTTCAAAAACATCTGCTGCACTGACCTAAATTATTTGTCCGCAATACAAAAAACATTTAGTTAGGTTAACAGATGATTATTAGTTTTCTCAAGTGGTGAACTACTCTAACAAAACTTTTTAAGTTTTGCCAACTGAAAGGTTTTCTCTGCAAAACTTGAATGCCTCAGGTTGAGTGAAAAAACAAAACATAATACTTATCCCTTTTGTATTTTCATGTGTACTCAACATTTTTAGCCTATTGGTAAAGTGTGCTGACCTATAACACTGAGTTGCTCGAGTGGCATTAGTTCAATTCCCACCTCAAGTTCCCTTGCTGATCCTTCCTCTCTCTAAGCTCCCTATTCCTCTCCTATCTCTACTGTCTTATATAATAAAGGTGAAATAACCCTGCAAATATTTATTAAAAAACTCAATTGTATGTTTATGATAGTCCAGGATCAGCATTAGTGAATTTACACTGTATTAAAATGATGATGATGCTCCAGGATAAACACTAGTGAGCTCAAACTGCAAAAAAAAAAAAAATTAATCATTGCCAGCTGCCTAGTGGTAGAGTGCGTTGTCATATAACACTGAGTTGCTTAGAGTGACCTAAGTTTGATTCCCACCTCAAAGTCCCTTGCTGATCCTTCCCCTCTCTCTGCTCCCTGTGTATTCCTGTCCCATCTCTATTGTCCTTATAATACAGGTGAAAAACCTAAAAGATATTAAAAGAAAATGTATGATGATGGTCCAAGATTAACACTAGTGAACTCAAACTGTAATAAAATGTCATTGCCGATAACCATGTGGTAAAGTGTGCTGATTTATAACACTGAGTTGCTCGGGGTGACCCCAGTTTTATCCCACCTCAAGATCCTTGACAATTATTCCTCTTTCTCTGCTCTTCGTATATTCCTGTCCAATCTCTGTCCTCCATAATGAAGGTGAAAAAAAATATTGATGGTCCAGGATCAACAATAGTGAATTTACACTGTATTAAAATGTTTATGATGGTCCAGGATCAACAATATAGTGAATTTACACTGTATTACAGTTTTTTACAATTTTTTTGCCACAACTTTCAGAACTCAGGTGTCAGTTTTCAAAACTCTAGACACAAAATTCACAACTGTTGCTAAAATTTTACATTTTTGCAAAACTCTTAACTCTTTTTTCAAATGCTTGGATACAACACACACGTCAAAGCTACTTTGTTCATTAAGATCACATTTTTAATAGAATACCATTAAACATCAAATTGATCCCATTTCAAAATGCAACTCAAACATTACATTTGAAATAAATGCATATTTATTTACTTTACATGATGTTATTATCAACTGATACAAGCACTTAAAATGAGAAATAACTGTTGCATTACTCTTGATGCGTGGAAACTGATGTACAATATTACATGTTTAGATGATGAAAGTTTCAGGATAGATCAAATGACATCAGTTACCACAGAAGATGACCCAACTGGACTACATTATCTATAGATTTCATCTTTATTCATCCTTATTCCATATTTATGGTTTCTTTGTTCCATGTACCACTTTTACAGACAATGTTTTCATATTTTACATTACTGTACTGTTTGTAAGAAAGCCCAATCACAGCAAAACATTGTCAGGCCTGGATACACATTGACTGAAGGTTCTTTCCAAGATTTTTGAGCAATGAAAACACCACTGTGATGTAGAGGAGAACCTGTGACCAAATCCACAAGACCAGACTGATGGAAACACAGATCCCTAAATAGAAATCTGATATATAGAAATATATGCAAATTACATGCAACATATTAGTTCATATAGATTTACATATATAAAATATGTTATACATGTCAAAATATTGCCATTTTTTTTCAACTTTTAAAATTACAAATATGTACATGCATGTTACGTAAATATATGATCTATTATGTTATATATTTTACCCCTGCAATATATAATACCTATAATTTGTATATGTTTCCATATGGCTGTATATGAACATTGATTTTGACAAATTATTGACTATTATGACAATTCATATATAGTATGTGGAATTGTTGTACAGTTGTAATTTGCATATGTTGCCATATATCAGCTTTCTATTTGGGGATGTGCAATGAAAAACAAAAATACAGTAAACATACATTATGATGGAATGAGTAGAACTAGTTCAGTGTATCCACTGTCTGTACTGTTCCCTCAACACTTATGTATAAACCATAAAGAAACCTGTATCATATATTTTCAAGAGTTCACACTTAGCTGATGATTAATTATAAAGCTTGTTTGGCATGCTGTCCCGGGAGAGAGCCCTGAGCTCATGAGATCCTCGAGCCCAGGGCTCCCTCCCGTTGCAAGGCGGGAGGGGAGTTTGAGCTCAGGTAGATCTCGAGAACTCCCCAAAATGCCTTTGTATAGCTCGGGACAGCAGCCGCGTATTGAAGAGCCCCCCAAAAAGCAGGTGTAACAAAGCCATATCCGGCTGCTGGATATAGCGTTGATAGCTTAGGAAGAGAAGCTCCTACGGGAGCAGAGCAAAGTAGACTGCTAGAGCCTAGGCGGGGCGAGGGCATGGCTGGATTGACTCCGCGGGAGTCAAGGCTCAAATATATACACCCCTGCGGGGGTGGGAGCTGGGGTTAGATTGCTCAAGCAAGAGTCGGGAAGGTTTAGGCGGTGGAGACTCTTGCATGTAAGGGTGGGAGGTGGCCAGGGCCTGAACTCCTGCGGGAGTTGAAGCTCGTTTTAGTCGCTCCTGCGGGAGCTAGAGCTGAGGATTGAGGGCCTAAGCGAAAGGAAGAACATAGCGAAAGAGCGACGCTGAAATAAAGACAGTTAGCGGAGAACTCAACGCTGGAAAAGAAATTGAGGAAATAGGAGGGTAAGGAGATAAGGGGGAAGATTAGAGAAGGGTAAAGGTAGCGGAAGCACTCACGCTGTAAGGAAGAAAGAAGGGGCAGATAATTGCCAGGCGGAGAATCTCGACGCCAGAATGAAGAAAAGGAGAATATATGAGTATATATGCATATATATAAATATATATATGAATATATATGGTTATTACATGGTAAGGGCCGGGCACGGGCGGTGATTGACTCTTGCGAGAGTCGAAGCTCGGAGCGACCCCTGCGGGGGTCAGAGCTGCTGTGGGCATTTCTCTGCTGAAGTCTGGGAAAGGGAGGGGGCAGTGGAGACTGCAGCAGGAGGTGGCCGGGGCGGGACTCTTGCGAGAGTCGAAGCTCGTTTTAGTCACTCCTGCAGGAGTTAGAGCTGAGGATTGATGGCCTATGAGAAAGGAAGAAAAGAGAGGGCGGAGGAACTCGACGCCAAAGAAAGAAAAGGAGAGAGGGGATAACCTGCGTGCGTGAGCATGCACGTGCGTCTATTCCTGTTTCGGCATATGTATGCGCACACATCGGAACAGGTATAAATCGGATGTATGCGCATAACATGCGCGTACATACCATTTCTAATGGCCTGGGGGGGCGGCGCAAGAGTCGAAGCTCAGAGCGACCCCTGCGGGGGTCAGAGCTTTGGGGGGGGAGGGGCAGTAAAAGTCGGGAAGAGGTAGGGGGTAGTGCAGACTCTTACTGGAGGTGGTAGTGAAGGGGTGGCTGGGGATGGGCTAGGGGTGACTCGCGAGAGTCGAAGCTCAGATTGGACCCCTGCGGGGGTCAGAGCATGGTGAGGGAAGGAGCATAGCAGATTGAAAGGAAAGTTAATAGCATACATGCAAGCTGCACAACATGTAATGCCCATGGGCTCACATACTCATTTGCTTGCATGTGCATATGCATACAGTACTTAAACGTACGCCCACACCTATATACATATCTACGTGCAAATAAGCATGCATACGTGTGCAACCGCACGCTGTATCTGCGCAAGCAATCACACACATTCCCATGCGCACCCATACACAAGCACACACACACGCGCACTCCAGTCTACTTAGGGTCGAGCTCGTACCCCTAGTTGGAGTTGGAATTTAGCTGGTTAGGGCTAGCTGGCTGTCTTGAGGTGGGATCGGCTGAGGCGAATGTAAGCTTTGAAGGCAACGGAGGACCAGCGGCCTAGGGTCTGGATTTGGTGCGAGGATAGACCTTGTGAGCTGCTGTGGTGGCTGCGCCAATTCTAAATGAATGGCTGGAATTCAATTCGGGGGAAACGCCCCATAAGGCGAAGGACTTCTTTCAGATGTTTTTAAACCAAAAACGGGTTACTGGACGGTTAGCGTCATCAGTAAAAAGTGGGGCATGTGGGTCTGTTTTCTGGATACCTTTAATGAGGAGGGAAGTTTGAGCATTAGAAATGG